CTTCTTTTTTTATGTACTATGTCTCATTCAGACATAGGCAATCATGGCACTCCACATTTTCCTGTCCCTTGTAGCTCTTAATAAGTTTTTTTCTTTTTCTTATTTATCCCAAATCCTGTTCTATCGTCCATTTGCTCAAGCCCATCAAGTTACACACTGCTTTCCTCTGTCCCTCTTTCCTTCAATCTATCTTTGCTTAGAATGTATGAATTTATAGTTGCTTTGAAGTCTGTATAGGGAATTTTAAAATATAGAGAATGTTCATTTTTAGTGATCATTTACTGCCGTGTCAGCTTTTCCATTTCCGTGGTTGCCAATATGGCTAGGTAGCCAATAAAAGTAAATTGCTAGGTACAAAAAGTAAAAGTAAAAAAAAAACTCGGCCAGAATTCTAACTCAGCTTGCCAATATCTCTTACCAAGTTGCTAACTATCACACTATCTGTACATCTTAATCCTGATCATTTACTTTTTGTAAAACCTTTAATCACCTTTTAATCAATAAAAACAAATCATCTAATGAATTGGTTAGGTGTTTAAACTTTTTAATGGCTTCACAGGAGATTCATTAGCCTGAAATATGGAAAGATATATATCTATATGATAAAATTATAATAAATAATTATTGCTCTACTATCAGTATTGAGCCCTCTTTTGAATTAATGCTGTCAATGTTAGAATTTATATCTTATTTTTGTTCTCATTGCATCAGAAAATATATATATATCTTTATCAATCTATCTCTATCTATATATATCTTTATTTTTCTCTCTTCTCTCTCTCTCTCTCTCTATATATATATATAGAGAGAGAGAGAGAGAGAAAGAGTGGGGAGAAAAAATAAAGTATATATAGAGAGAGAGGTAGATTGATAAAGATATATATATATATATATATATATATATATATATATATAGAGAGAGAGAGAGAGAGAGAGAGAGACAAAGATGTATGTATATACAGAGAGAGAAATAGATAATGATATATATATACAGAGAGAGAGTGATATGAAGAAATATATTAAACAAACCTTCAAAAGGAATTTAACTAACACTGATATTGATTACTTGCATTGTTTGGACTGTTGTCTTCATCTTTATTGTTATATTCACAATGTTTCTGCCGTTGTACACTCTGGCCTTCTTCAGGTGATTGGAATTTAGAACTAAACCTTTTATTTTGTCCACTGGGTTAGATTGTTCTAGTTCCATGTGCCATGCTCCTACCAGGGTGTATCTGTTACCTTCCTTTAACCCAAATCTCTAACACATTTTGAACATAAAAATAAAGATGAGGACAACGGTCCGAACAATGTAAATTATGTAAATAATTACAATACCACATCTCAGAAACATAGACAGATACTGATATCAATATTCTCTGCCTCAACCTCAGCCTGGCTGCATGCATTTTTACTAATGAGTGACGTGTGGCAAAAGCTCAGGATAGAAAAATTGCCAAGAGGAGCATGGATGTAACAGGTTTCAAAACTGGCATCATATTTCTACCTTTTTATTTTTCTTTTTTGTTTTTTTCCCTTTGGCCATTACACATATAATCTGGTGCATTTTTGCAACTGAGCACGTGAATATTCACCACAATAATATTCTGGAACAACTGTAATTTGTTCATCATCAAATGGCATTTAAAGACATTCTTGGGTTAGTCTGTTAAGTGGGTGCATGTGAACTAAGCAATGAAAGCAAGTCTCTAATGAGGATAATGAGGTACCTTCATATTCATGCATAAAATACCATCCTCATCCATCGACATGGTTCACTGCATCCTCATTTATCACTTCTTCATATTCTTCAACATCTTGATCCTGGCTTTCTTGATTTTGTCTTTGAGAAAATCTTCTTTCTCTATCTTTATGCAGTGCCAATTCCAGACTGACTGTGTTTTTCTGCTGTATTAAATCTGTAACTATAAACTCTAGCATTCTATTTATTTGCCAGCTAACAAGATAGCACTGGGCTTGGTTTGGATTGACTGACAGATTTGATTTTTTACAGTTTATCAACCCATTGCAGATTATTTTAAAACCAGAAAATATTTCAGATTGTAAGAATTTGTTTGAGATAATGATTTACTGAGACAAGTCTAACTAATTAACCCATAGTTAGAGGGGGAAGAGGTGGATTCAAATACCCTTTCTCAAATATATTTGTAAATAATTGAATTTACTGAATTTTGGTTCTTTGTTAGCCATTCATATCTGCAATTGACTTCAATATTCACCCATTTATGTACTGATCAAAGTTCAAAACTGATGGTTTTTAAAAAAAAGCAGTGCTTCAACGTGATATAGCCATAAGTTGTTTTGTTTTGTCCTTTTGGATGTAATTTTTCAAATAACAGTTTTAATTGTACCTAACATCCTGAATTTTTCTGTTAGCATTCATATCTAAATGACTTCAATATTCACCAATAAAAAGTTTTATGTCCTGGATGCAACCTTTTTCTAACATCCTTCCGAGATAAATGTTTAGCAAAAGTTTTGCACTCCATAGACATGTCAGACCATTCCCTCGTCCATGTCCAGATAGTTGCCAAATAAATGACATCCACTGATTTACCATTCTATAGAATGGTTTTTTGCTATGTGAAGGCAGACTAGGACAGCTTTTAGTCTTATATAATGGAAATTCCTCTCTCAAATTTTTTCAAGCATGCTGCTTCCAAAGCTGCTACTGTCATCTCTGAATGGATCATTTCTGGAATGGAGAGTTTTATGGCCAAAAAATATTTCAGCAAACTCAAACAATCAGCTCTGGTTCACCCCTGAATTCACTGTAGACATAGCTCACAGGAACTACTTCAATATCTATGGCATGAAGCAGTATAGTTTTACCATTATTTCTTTCATTATTATAAATAGCCCCAAGGTCATATCTTCCTCATCAGTGAAGCTCTTTACCCTGATCTTTGCCTCAAACTCAACATTAAGTGATAAAGGCCTTGACCCTAAGAAAGCCACTAGCCCAGACAAAATTCCAGTGCTTGTTCTTAAGAATATTAACCCAGAATTATCCCCAGTTTTAGTGAAGTTATACAACTGCTGCTTGAAGAAGAAATCTTTCCCAACCCTGTGGAAGGAGTCATGCTTATGCCCAGCCTTCAAGAACACAGGTGAATGATCTTCCCCCTCCCAGTATGAAACCATTAGTCTCCTCAGTATCATCAGGTTTTTGAGGCTCTAATCAAGAAGAAGGTCATCAATCACCTAAATTGAAACAACTCCTGTGCAATGAACAGTATGAGTTTCAATCAGCCTGATCCACTGCTGATATCCTAACTACCATTACACATAGGTTTAGGGAGGCTCTTGATGACAAACACACCTTGAAGACCATAGCATTAGATATTTCAAGGGCCTTTGACAAGGTGTGACACAAACATTTGCTGCGCTAGCTCTCCAGCTATAGAATCACTGAAAGGGTCTTAGTGATAAAATCTTTCCTAGCAGGTAGATACCTGAAGGAAGTTATTAACGACCTGTCCTCTGATGCCCTGGAGGTCAATCCAGATATCTCCCAGGGCTCACTTCCCAGACCAACCTACTACATAAATAATCTCAGATCATTTGTAAACATCTATGCTGATGATACAATGATATATGGGTGCAGTTGTAATATTCTTAATGATCAGAGATTGGCAGCTGACCTCTCTTTCAATCTAGCAATAACTTCCCAGTTGTGAAAAAACTGGCTGGTTATATTCTGTACCTCAAAAATTGAACTAGTTACATTCCATCACTGCCGACCAGACCCTAAACTAAGGCAGTCACGATGAAATGATGTCAAACTAACACCTGACCTCAAGTAGAACTCATACATTATATTCATCACTAAAGGTGCAGGTAATATGACCAGATCCCTGTATCACACCAGTAAGTAACTAACTCTTCATGCTATCCTCTCCCTTTACAAGAGCCAGATCAGGCTAAAAATGAAGTACTGTTGTCATATTTGGGCTGGAGCTCCCCAGTCCTCACTTTGGCTCCATTAAAGTGATGCTCTAATTAACCAGTATCTATGACATATACTACAAAGACAATTTGAGTTAATTAATTTTATTGATTGGCTTTTCCAAATTGCAAATAATCCTCAGATTAGGATGAAATTCCATCAGAAATTGTAACAGACTTATAATCCTCAACACAATATTCATACAACAAAAACAACAAACTATAAATAAAAACAATCATTTTTTAAGAGATATTTTACCAAGATAAAGTCAGTCATTAACACTAGGAAATATGCAATCCTATCTGCTAGCAAGTAGGACAACAATAAAAGTTAACAAAAGTAAAATTTTGTATTTGATATTAAAAATGAAGTATCTGTAATCTTATCTTTTATCTTGTCTTTAACATTAACAATTTGTGCTTGTGGAGAATATACAACTATATCTGCTACAAAGTGGGTTGGCAAATGGAACCTATCAATAAAAGTAAAACAATATTATATTGGAAAACAAAATGGTTGCCATCATTTAGTTGCCTATTCTCAAATGAATATGTTTCTTTGAAAAACCACCTTCTGATTTGTCAAAAGACAATTGATTCTGACATGTGTAAAGTGTGAGGCCATTCAGTGCAGCCATACTCTTGCATGGAGAAGGAAGTTGTTTGCCAGTATTTGATTTATATGTCCGTGGCGGACGGGTATATTGACATATGTACTCATGTGTCATTGTGCATTTTTCTCCACTGTAGTGGCCATTGGCATTGTCAGGATAGCCACCAATGTTGACAGGTGTAATTTGGGGATTGAGGTGTGAAACATCATGTTGGATATTAATAAGGAAAACTGAGAAAGGACCAGAAAACTGCTGAACGACAGAAGAGATTGGGTAAGGAAGAAAATAAAGAATAAAAAATGCCTGAAGCTATAACAAAACAGAAACTGACCCTTTAGCTGCAGTCAATTTCCCAAGAAGTTCAAGGATCCCGCTTTTTCGTTCAGTCTTTGTTTTGTGGGAGACACCAAAGCAGAATTAAGGAGATGTGATCAAAATGGTAGGAAAGAGAATTTTTGAAAGAAAAATGGAAAGGAAGAGTAAAGAAAGGAAGGTAGGGAAAAAAATTAAGAATAAAAATAAATTAATGCAATTGAAAAAGAAAGAGAAGGTTAAGCAAAGAGAAAGTGGAAAGCAGCATAAGAAGAAAAATGAAAAGAGGATAAAGGAAATAATCAGAGCAAATGAATAAACAAAGAGAATACGGATATAAAGAGAGAGTGGGAGAAAGATGATTAGGAAAAGAAAGAAAGAAAGAAAGAAAGAAAGAAAAAGAAAGGGAAGAAAAACCAAAGTGTTAGAGAGACAGAGTGAGAGGGAGGGAGAGAGTAAGAGAGAGAGAGAGATGAAAATATGAGCGAGAAAGAAAGTGTTTGACTAGGAAAAATAGATAAAATAAAAAGAGGATAAATCCATCCAATGTCATTATGGAAAGAAAAAGAAAAAAAAGGAAGTTAGGAAAAAAATGAATGAATAAAAATAAATATGAGTGAGAAAGAAAGAGAAAATTAAGTGACGAAAAAAGGGGAAAGCAACATATGAAAAAAAAATGAAAAGAAGGTAAAAGAAAAAATCAGAGAGAAAGAATAGACATGGAGAATAATAAAATAAGGAGAGAGTGGGAGAAAGAGGATTTAAAAAGGAGTGAAAGAAAGAGAACAAAAGCCAGTATGTTAGAGAGAGAGAGAGAGAGAGAGAGAGAGAGAGAGAGAGAGAGAGAGAGAGAGATGAAAACACAATAAGAAAAACAGTGAGCAAGAAAAAGAATGTGCAACCGGGAAAGATAGATAACATAAAAGCCGATAACTCGTGCCATTATAGTGAGAACCTGGCAAAGATGTGAATCCTTATTCTTCAACTTAACAATTGAAATTCTGTAAAGCAACCTCCACCATCCTCAATATAAACACATTTCAATCTTTGACGGATTTCCATAATTATTATTATAATATTTGTGTTCAAATCACTACCAATTCGCTTCCATATTATTCTTCCCAGCTTAACAGTCAGTTCCAGCTTTGGTTCAAATCTAACCAAACCAACCCCCTTCTAGCTCACTTCCTCTCCTGCAGGCAATCATTTATTTGTTTGTTTACCCATCGTATAAGATGCCCAAGAGGCAGACACTTGCTGACCTAACCACCCCATATAACAGCCAGCCATATCTGACATTTTCTTTTCCATCAAACCCTCCCCTTGTCCGGACTGCCAGTCGTGCAACACAATATGAAGCTATGGACCCAAGAGTCGGATCATGTCAATGGAGGAAGCTGTTGTTGAACAAACACAAGATTAATGTTGAATTAATGAAAGTACAATAATATGGCAGATATTTTTTTCATTTATTTTATAATTATTTATGTATCTTTTGCAATATATATATATATATATATATATATATATATATATATTTCATACAGTTACAACTGAAATAGACTGGACAAAAAAAATAGAGGCCAAACCTAGAATGTGAAAAGTCAACTGATGCATTGGAATATGGGTGGGTTGTATTAGATTTGTTTTCCACTATTGAAAATTTGTTTTCTCAAGAGGAAGGATCAGATGTTCTTTTTCAATAAGACAATGCTCTTTCCTAAATTGCAAAGACAACCAAAATGTGGCTTGAGAATAAATTTGGCAAACTCATGTTGTACCCATATCCAAGTACAGATTTAAATGTGGGCAAGAATATTTAGCTTCACATTAAAAGCAATCCAGTTGGGGAAACATTTTTAGCTAACCAGCAATGGCCACCTTGGCATTGTGTAATAGTTAACAAGATTGCCTTGATAGAAAAATAACAACCAAATAGTGAGTTTGATTCTCACTGGGTGCCCCACACTTGTGCCACATCTATGCTATGCTTAGAAAACCACCTTAACTAATCAGTAACTGTTTAAAATTATAAATTTTGAATGGCACAAAATTGATGCTTCTTTCTGCACAAAGCTGTTCAAAAGCCTATCTACAAAGCTTCAACATGCATATACAGAGTGGACCAAAAGTAGGTAGACAGTAGGTGGAATAAGTCACTGTATTGGTTATATCATTACATTGGTGTTCATTTGTTATAGTGGAACACACCTATTCTATAGTTAATAGACTCTCCCACCTATAATAAGTAGGAGTACTAGGAGTCGCTCAGTGAGTCAGTCAGTCAATGCCGTATGACCGTTAGTCGGATACTAAAGTATCAGCAACCACAACTAGATTACTCTGCGTCATACCTATTATATGAAGTTCTTAACGTTTTGTACGTCGAACCTATTTTTACGACCGACAGTAAAAAATACAAGCCTCCACTGTGAAATCACTCCACAACATCATTATAACTATGGCATTTGTGGTATATTATTTTAAATTTTATAACGAAATTTATCTAAATTTTTTTTCAGATAATTGTATTAGTAAATATAATTGTATATGTAACCTCAAACAAATTTTATCATTTACTGTCCACCTACTTTTGGACCACTCAGTATTTAAAGAAACCAAAGGGAAAATCAATCTCATACTAAGTTCTTTCATATGCTGTCCCTTCAGGAGGTGAGCGATCATGGCTCTCCATAACTTCCTATCCTTTATAGTTCTATGTTTATCTCCTTACCATCCTTTCCAATCCCTGTTCTGCCATCCATTTGAACAAGCTCATTAGGTAGGTTACTCAATATTTCCATTTGCCTCTTTTGCCTTCAATATGTCCTGTGAGTGTCAAATTCTCTAATCCTTCCTTCTTCATTATGTGTCCTAAAAATTTTAACTGATTGTTTCTGTATCTAAATATACAGTATATACTTGTGTATATGCTGACTTCATGTATAGTGCAGGCTATTTTTTGCATGAATTTTAACCCCCTCCAGAAAAAAATGTACATGTTTATAGTGCAACTGGTCACCAAAAATGTATGATTTTTAGCCTCTTCAAAAAAATTAAATATAGTACGAGACCCTATTTGCTGAGTAAAACACTGATCATAAAAACTTGCACTATACTCAAGAATATACAACATATGTCCCTTTTGTTTCCATTTTTCTTAAAACTTCTTTGTTGCTGACATGTTTCATTCATGGTATTCTCATCATCTTTCTGTAGAACAACATCTCTGTTGTTTGAAGTTTGCTCTTCCACTGCCTGAAATTGTCCAGTATTCATTGCTATATAAGGAGATTGGTATTATATCACAGTTCTGCATTTTTCTCTTTGTTTCTAACAAAAATTTTCCTGTTTTTGTTTATTGTTTCAGATTTATATAATGGGTCTAATTTGCAAAATTTTCATGGTCCCTTATAATCAAATGATGAGGGATATGATCATCTTCATCACGATTTTGTTCATTCAATATAAGGACAAAGATTCACTCAAGGTAGAGGTTTACTGAATGAGGCTGTTTTACAGATGTAAGAATTGCAGATTATGAGTATTTGATAACAGTTGACACAGGACTTGAAGAGTGCAGTGATCAGGGGAAAAAAGCAATAGAGTAGCGAGACGCTTATGACATTGCATTTGTGAGAAAGGAGTTACAGGGTGAAAAATAGTTCAACTCCTACAAGGGTGTGTAAATACTTTTGAATTCTGTTGAAGGTTAAAAGAAAGGATTAGACAGATCACACCCATGCACAACAGAAATATTTCATTTTCAAAGATATTTGAATGCATTAAGAAGGTTGGAGAGCATATCAGCCAAAAAGTGATAAAAACCACAAAGATCGTTACTAATAATATTCAGATTAATAGTATTTGACTAAAAACATATTACACACATATATATCTTCACACTAGATCAGACTAGTACTGCAGAGAGATTGATCCATTTTGGATGTCTGTACATTTGTAACCTTGAGCCAGACTTAGCTAAACATAGTAAATACTCTCATTTTATAGATACTGTTTGTAGTGCTCATTTAATAGAACAGTTTTTTTGCTCCTTACAGTCTTTTCTACTTATTAACCTTCCTCATAACAGGGGTTTCTTGATGGCTATGAAACTCCTGAGCACCACTGATCTAAGTCAATTTTTCACAGTTGAGAGTGGCACTGGTTCCTTCCAAAAGGAATTAAGTTCAGCTGTCAACTCTGAAGCAGTATTCCTTCTATTTCTTTTAATCTCAATAATCAAGTGTTTATCTTCAGTAACAGCTGTCATTTTTGGTACTCCAACTCTTTTTCTGTCGACCTTTGCATCTGTTTCTAACTGCCTCTGCTTTGAATATTGCACCTCATGTTTAGAAATCTTCAACTTCTTGGCAATTTGTCTTTGAAATTAGTCTCCTTTGAATAAAATTTCAATTTGTGCTCTCATCTCAATGCTTAGCTGCTTTGATTTTGCCATTTTGTGCAAATTACTTGAAAATTAAAAAATAAATTAAAAAAAACTATGAAAATACTGTCATAATGGCACAATCTTTTTTTCTTCAAACAGAGACAGCTACATATATTTTGTTTACAATAAGTCAGTGCTAAGTTAACATTTACAACCTGTATTAACATTTAACTTTGTTGAAAATTTTGTTAATCTCAAAAAGTCCACTGAGGTTTTAAAAATGAAAAAAAATATAATGTTTCTCATAGAAAATATTCATAATTTAGCAAAATGTATTGTGAACAGACAAATCCAAATTTGAATTTTTTGGTAGTAAAAGAAGCCTGGAGAAAAACTGAAAAAAAAAAGCAAATACACTGTAGTTACTGAAATTTTATCTTTTACTTTAAAAAATACAAAAATATCTCATTTTAAGGTGTTTTTTAAAGAAATGCAGGGTCACTAGAATCAAGCAGATGTGGAAGTTTAAATATCTGGGAAGTGTCTTTGAGATCTGTAGGCATACTAGGATGGCCAAGGACACATTCCGAAAGCTGGGCAGAGTATTGCAAGACAGGAGAATTTCTTTGGTAACAAAGAAAAGAATACTGAGCTGTTATGTGACATCTGTCCTTCTTTATGGCAGCGAATGTTGGGCGATTTCCTCAAATATGAAGAAGAGTCTCGAGGTGATGGAGATGTGATTCAACAGAAGGATGCTAAGGATATCATGGACCGAGCGTGTGAACAATGATGAAGTCTTAGAGATGTTGCAAACAAGGAGGAGGCTTATACTTAACATCAGGAAGAGGCAGCTGAAGTTTCTGGGACACATAATGAGGAATGAGAGCCTGGAGAATCTGATACTCACAGGTCGAATAGAAGGAAAGAGAGACAAGAGAAAACAATGTGTGACATACCTGGTGGACTTAAGCAAGTGGATGACAGAACCTGGTCTGGGGGAGGAAGCAGAGGGAAGGAATTTGTTGAGAGCTGCAAGGGATAGAGAGAGGTGGAGAGCCATGATTGTCTATGTTCTAAAAGGACATGGCACATAAAAAGAAAGAAAAGTGTAGGTAGCACAAAATCAGAAGAGAATTTCAGAAGTAAGAAGTGTGAGAAAAGAAACTATTAAAATAAAACTAATGGTTGCATTTAGGTAGTCCAACAGTAAAATGATGAGACCTACATGGCAATCTAGTAGGATGCTTAAATTCATGCATTTGAAGCACTAAGGAAGAAAGCTTATCAAAAAAATTGCCATGAAGATATTTGTAGAAAAAACAGAAGGGAGTCATGTCATGTCAGTGAGACTGTGACTGAAGATGCCAGGTCAGGATCGATTATCTTACAGACCCTTCTTTCAATTTTGTCATGAATCTTGACATATATGATAGGAGTATCAGACCAGATATGGCAGCAGTATTCAATGTACAGATTTATAAATGAGCAAAATGGATTCTGATGAAAAAAAACTGTCTGACACAACACA